AGCCCTTGAAAATCGAAGAGCGCAATTTGGCGCCTTTAATTGGTTATGCATCGTGTGCGTGGTTCTGGCGTCTACTGTTGTGTGTTCTCAGTTTATTTCTTCTGCTCTCTCTTGGTTTCTTTTTTTTTCTACTGCTGCTGATGCAAGAATACCACGCGACCACGTGACTGCCGTCCGGTTAAAAGGCAATATCGACCTACCATACTCACAGCTATCCAGTAGTCTGGAATATTATTCGAACAATACAACAGTCGCGTGCACCGACCATGGACAGGTCTAATACGTAGTATGTTCAATGTAACAGAAGATATACTTTTCTAGGTGCACTACAAAGATATTATCATGTAAATGTTTCATTATTTTCTAAACAGTCGCGTCTATTGTATAAGAAACCTTCACAGAGGGAAATTGATCTAACACAACTTGCTTAACACACCAAGAACAATTCCCTGTGTATACAATTTCAAATGTTACGTCGAGAATTATCTTGCACATAATACATTGCCACTTAGATGTATGGTTGCTCGGATTATCTGCTAAGTTAGACCGTCGTTCGATTAAGCATTAGGCACTGTTATGCATGTATGCAGTGCCAATATCGCAACCGCTATGTGTTTAGCGATTATATGGATCTCGATGCGGTTCAGTTCCAGGAACGGAGCTTAAGTTCCCCTCCAAGCATGTCTGAGAAGCTTCTCGTCCACCACGAGTCTGCTGTTTACACACATGTAAATGGTGAAGTAATTAAAAACAGACACACAACTGCCAAAGGAACAGCAACAAATTTGGTACCCCTAAAAATATAGTATTACCTAATTACCAAAAATGTGCACTATTTTGAAAGAAGAAATTTCACGTCGACATTTCTTTGATTTCTTAACTCAATAGATTTATTAAATTTCTAAAATCAACAAAGTGCTAAGCTAATTAGAATTACACCTTGATTTGCGGAACAAATGCTTGAAGTGAAATGGAATATTTTGTACTCGTCTAGGAACCAAAATGATATTCGCAGAAAGGTAAAAAATGGTAAAGAAAATTTGATTTATTTCCAATTCACCATTCCATACTTATTTGATATATCTCCTTTAACATTTATATTCAGGCTACAGTTCATTTCGAATGCAGTTTTTGTATCAGGTCGTTCGTCTTCAGAATCCGTAAACGTCTTGTACTTATTGTACTCTCGAATGTTCTAATGCTGTTAACTGAAAGCCAATAAAGAACCTTCAGATGCTTCGAGAAATTAAAATATATTTTAGTAATAAACTTCAATTTTATTTAATTGTCAGAGGTAGCATTCTACCGGAATTTAGACCACATTATTTATTACACGAATATTTAGTCCTCAAGATTTAAACATTACATAATTACCTAATTCATTAAATGTCATTGTTAAAATAAATATTATTTCCTGTTTGATTATCAGTACACTTTCTAAAGTATAGAAACAGTTTTCCATCTGAAAAGATTGAGGTCGAGAGAGACTACACACGCTAAAACGCATTCACAATAGCAAAGAAACGAAACGAATCCGGTAAATCTGATAAGGTTATCTGATAAGGAAAAAGAGTTAATTCTGGTTATAGTTGCATATTAGTTTCCTATTCCTGTATATTAGTTTGGGTATACTGGTTATGGAAGGTTGAAAGTGAATGTGTCTGATAATTATTTTCTCAACAAATGATTGAAATTATAACTGTGTCGAAAGAAGTTGTGTGAAAATTCAAACAAAACAATGCAAATATTTAAATTAAAAGAAAAATAGCAATCGTATGGACCGGGGAAAAATCAATATTTTTCACTGACTAAAATTCCTAGAAAAAAAATTTTAGGGCGTTAAGTGTCATTCTGAAACCTAATCAAAAATTAATTTTATAAAACATGACGTAATACAATCACCTGTCTTTGAATAATTCAAACAATTGCAAATCGCCACAATTTTGAATAGAAGGTGCCTTTAATGCACATTAGTATTGACTAAAATTTTGGAATTTTGGTACAAGTCTCCGTCAGAATTTTGGTAAGGTTGGGAAGTAAAAATTACGGAGTCTCGTACAAATACACAATTGAATAGCACGAGTTGCAAATCATTTATATTTAAAATGATATTTAAAACTTAAAATATTATTACTTTTAATTTTAAAAAATATTTGTATATTAATTTTTATAACCGTTTTAGAAACGATGTAAAACAGTATTAGGAAATTCTTACGAAAAATTCTAAAACAAATCACTATTATAAAATGTAATTGCAAATCTCATAGTGTCAAAAAATGTACTACAAAAAATATAACTATTTCAACATTTAAATAGATGACATAGCATGACAAAAAATTATATGTATTGAAAGGTTTATTAAAATTTGTACAGATAATATATTCTTACTTACATTCAAAAACGTACATAAGACCATACGAATAGACTTAGGAAAAATTCTTCTAAACGAAAATCACCTAAAAATTCACTCTCCGCGTTCCTTTGCAAAGCCGCATAGTTATGTAATTCATGCGGGAAAACAAAGAAGCGATGTGGACGCAAGAATTTTATATCTAACACTTGGCTTCTCACTGGGCTTTGCGATATCCCCCGGTCACCCGGAGAATAGTGTATCTCGTCCGTATATTCTCCATGTAGCTTCATAGTACGCTGAAAGCAAGAAGCCCACCAGCATAGCCGCTGGGCTCTCCCATATCCCCCGATCACCCGGAGAATAATGTTCTGGTCTATAGATTCTCCATGGAGCTTCATAGTACGTTGAAAGCATGAAGCCCACCAGCATAGCCACTGGGCTCTCCCACATGCCCGGTCACCCGGAGGATAATGTTTCTGGTCCGTAGATTCTCCATGTAGCTACATAGTACGTTAAAAGCATGAAGCCCACCAGCATAGCCG